CATTTTATCAACTTCTAATGCAGCAACGGGCACGTTTTCAGGGTCCTATGGGCTGTGACTCAAGCGCAGGTGTGGGGTTCGCACACGTGGGATTTCACCCCAGGCCGGAGTCTTCCTATGGGGACTCGGCGTGCTACTCACAGTCCTAAGCCTCATTCCCTCCTTTGTAGATGGTATCACAGTAAAAACTACTTTATAGCATCTTGTGAAGATTAAAACAGCGCTTTCAGATACTCAGGTTAACATATAATAGAGGCTTGTTTTTTTAAAAAAATTTATCTCTGTAGCAACTCACACAGCATGTTTATATGTCACAAAACTCTATTTCTTCCCAAGTAGACAAAAATGAGTAGGTTTCCTATACCAGCTGTAAAATCCTATATTTTTCATATTTTATTTTGGTTCATCTCAGCTTTTATATCATGATTAGCTTCTGTAACACTGGTCCAGGAAGAATCTAATAGTGACATATAGATGGCCTGATGATATTACTGCATTTTCTTCTGAGTAATTACAGTTTCTAGCGATTACACTGTACCTTGGGAAGAAACTATCTTTAATATTCATTCCAGACCAATCCAAAATGGAAAAATCATAATTTTGGGGTGACACCTCAGCTATTAAACTCCGCTACCGGATTTCAATATCGCAGACGCCCCCAGCGGTGACGGTGGGAGACAGCAGCCTTTCCAATAGAAGCTCTCACTGGGGCTGCACTCAGCGCCTCTGAGAACCAGCGGTGGTGTTTGTAGTGGAAGCAGAGGAGGAAGAAAGCCTGCCGTTTTCACGTTCCCTCTTTCCTCTCTGTGACGGTCCGAGCCCAGGCCTCTGTCACGCCCGTGCAGCTGTGCACGGCTGGCCAGGTGTGCACGCCACAGCTCCAGGGGCTCCGTTCCCGATGGCCAGGGGCAGCCCTGGCACAGGTGAGGGTCACAGCCTGGCAGCTGCACGGGTGACCCTGGCTCCCTGCCCCCCCACCCCCCACCGTGGGCTCCTTGTCCTGAAACCCGCGTTCTGTGACCCCAGGCGCGAACTCAGTGAGCTCAGCTTCCAGCGCGGCCTGACGCTGGGTGGGCTCAGCCTCAGCTCTCCCAGGTGGAGTCACGCCTCTGGCAGCGAAGCACCCAGGGCCCCGGGCGTGTGTCCTCAGAGACTCACAACGCGTGCACCGCGGACTTCAGCCTGTGTGCGGAGGGAGGTGGGACCGTGATGCTAACTGGGCCAGGCCGGCCTGACGGACACGGCCCACTCCTGGGTGGCCGTGTGAGAAACATGCTGGAGAAAGGGGAGCCGGTTCCGGGAAGGCGGAGAAGGGGGGAACCAGAGGAAAACGAGATGAAAGAGTCTTCCCAGGTGTGGGCACGCTCTGAGACTTCCTAGTCTCCCCAGCAGCTCGGAGGTGGGCGGGTGGCCCGCCCGGCCAGGACGGGGTCTGCCATGGCCATCGGGGAACACATGTGAGCCTCGGTTCCCTCTGTCCGTGTGCCAGTGACATTGGGAACATCTGTGGGGCGAGCCCCCCCGCCCCCGGCCGAGGGGGGAGCATCTGCCTTTGGAGGGGAATCACAGAGCCCGCTGCGGCTGCACCCGCTCCAAGTCTGCCTGTTGGCCCAGATGGGACCCTGGCTCTGAGGCTGGAGCGGAGCGGCTGCCAGAACCGGCCCACGCGCTTCCTGCGCTTCCTGGTGGGAACCTCTGTTCTCCTGCAGGACAGCAGGCCTGCCCAGGTGCGCAGGGCATAGCTGTGTGCGCGGCACAGCCCTGTAGCGCGTCATCCACACAAACCTACGCAAGTGAGCGTCCCCCAGAGGCCCCATTAGGACGCAAACATGACAGAACGTGCGGAGCAGCTGTGGCCTTACCGTGCGCCGCGTGCTGCGCGTCTGGGGGCAGCTGGCCCGGAGCACCCCGCTGGCGGTCTGGCTGTGTGGACAGGAAGCCTGGTTAGAGCGTGTGGGTCACACACGCAGAGGGGCGCGTGCAGAGGGTGACGAGGCTGCACAAGGTCACTTCTACCCCAGCCGCTGGCGGTCCCGCTCATCTCTGAGGCCCCCTCAGCACCCGGGCTCCCTCCCGACCCCCCAACCCCCACAATCCACCCCGTGGAAGGCCAGATGTGACTGCTCTGGGGTTGTGGCACATTTTCTTTTTCCAAAACAGATGTGTTCAGATGTGTCTGGCTGTCTGCCGAAGTATAAACACTTCTGTAAAACTTACTATAGCCCATAAATAAAACAAAGCCATTTCCTATCAACAAATAACAAAAGAAAAGTTCTTTTTAGAACTTCACACAGGAGGCAGCAGGAAGACCAGAGAGAAAAATGACAAGTTTGGTGTTTTCCGGTGGATCCAGGGGGAGCGCTGAGCTGTGGAGGGAGGACCGGGCCCTGGGGGCTCAGGTTGGGGGGCAGGACAGCTGGGCTCCCC